GTGTGTGGCCAGCTCAGCCCACCAGGGGGCGGGGCTGGCTGGCATGTGGTGCTGGGGGATCGAACCGCGGTCCCTGATACTTTTGCTAAGCTTGTTCTAAGTAGGTGCTTTAGACCACTGAGCCATCTCTCCAGCCCCCAAGAAGACCATTTTAAAGAAATCAGTAATGCTAGGGCAGGCCAAATAGCTCAGCAGGCCAGGGGTTCAATCCCCAGGTCTGCTGTGTAAGCCCTGCCCCCCACCCCCAGCATGCTGAGACAGCAACTGAGACTGGGCCTAGTGGTGTGTGCCTGTAATCCTAGCTCTTGGGAGGCTGTGAACAGGCAGATCACTAAGAGTCCCATCTAGTAGCGAGACCTTGAACACCATGTAGACCCTTCCCTAAAATAAAAAAAAAAAGAAATCAAAAAGCTGAAGAGGCTGGGAAGGGGGTGCTGGTGGTGTTCTTTGTAGTTGATAAGAGTATAAACTAATACCACCACAATTACAAGTAGTATGAAGAATTCCTAAAAAACTAATACTACAAATCTCATTTGATCCAGCTATGCCTCTACTAGGTATATCCCCTAAAGAGTTAATGATATCATATGACAGTAATACATCCATATCCATATTTATAGCAGCACAATTTATAACAGCTGAAATTCAGGAACAGCCTAAATATCCATCAACAGATGAATAAAAAATGTGGTATTCATACAGAATCAAGAACTACTGTCATATAAAGAATTTTCTTACGTAACTTCGATAAGCTTCTGTCAAGGGACAGAAGTGCTGGGGATAAAACCCAGGACCTCACACACTCGTCAAATGCTCTTCCACTCAAAGTTCTACCTCCCACCCCAATAAGTATGCCTGTTTGTGCAAATCCAAAACTTGTCTATAAGATTTTTTTTTAAATTTTTATTTATTTATTTATGTGTGTGGAGGGGCAGCTCAGTCCACCAGGGGGCGGGGCTGGCTGGCATGTGGTGCTGGGGGATTGAACCGTGGTCCCTATGCTTTGCTGAGCTTGTTCTAAGTAGGTGCTTTAGACCACTGAGCCATCTCACCAGCCCTGTCTATAAGATTAAGGTAGATGTTACTAGAATGGGGTTAAATTTTAAAATGTAAAAATAATTTCCGATGGAAATTCTAAGAGCCATAAATATAAACTATGGCCTCAAACAAAAGCAAACAGAACCCACTTTAGGAAACTATTTTGTACTTTAGAACAATGTACTCTCGAGTTAAAACAATTATCGACCTGGGTGTTACAGGTACCAACCATACCTATAATTCACACCAATGGGAGGCTGTGGCAGGAACATTACAAGGTGCAGGCCAGCCCACACAACTTAATGAGAAATTCTTTCAAGATTAAATTGGGGTGGGGTGGGGGGAGCACGTATAATGGGGAAAAAAAATTAAATGCCTGGCAGTGTAGCTCAACAGTGCAGTGCTTGCCTACCACGTACAAGGGCCCAGGTGCAGTCCCCAGTATGTGCAATACAAAAAACTTATGCACACACGCACACACACACGCGTGCGCACACACACACACACACACACACAGAGGTTACCCTAAACAAGAACTAGTAAATAATGAAGTGTGTCACAAAAGCAGAGCCATATTAGTGAACTTGATGTGAGGCCCAAAACAGTGCATCAACTGAGTCATAGTCTTACAAACCAACAACATAATGCCAATGAATAAAAAATTCTTCTAAAAGAAAAATAATGTTTCCTAAGTCTCAGTGGTAGAATATTTGCCTACTAGGGCCAGTGAGATAGCTCAGTGGACTAAGCATCTGCTTACGCAAGTGCAAGGACAGGGGTTCAATCCTTGGTACCGCACATGGCGCCACCCATCCCCAGGTGCGCTAAGCCAGCCACCAAGTCCAGGCATGGTGGCACACGTCTGTAATCTCAGTGTTGGGGAGGCGGAAAACAGGAGGATCACTACAAGTTCAAGTTGCATAGTGAGACTATGCACAAAATAAAAACAAAGCTTAAAAGAAGTATTCTCTTGCCATTATTGAGGCCTTGGGTTCAATTCTCAGTCACACCAGAAAGGGAAAAAGAAAGTTATTAAACAATGAAAAAACATCTGTGTTAATCTTTGAACAATCCAATATGGTGAACCAATAGGGAAGACCCACCTCTCCCATCAAAACATTAGCTAACCACCCTACAAGTAAGTCCACACAGAATTTTTACATACTAATGTCCAAACTGTGCAACAGAAAGGAAAAGACACGATCAAATTTGGGTTAAAAAGATGTAATGTTAAATTTTATTTATATACTAATTCAAACCAAAAATTTTCAAAGTATTATATAGTATATAACTCATTTCTTCCAATCTATGCGTTTAAAACTGTCAGCACTCATGGGAAAGTGAAACAATCACTTTCTCTCCATGTGGAACGGTAGTCAGTGGTGGCAATGGTACTGACAACAGCAGTGTTCCTGATCTGCTTTTACTTGTTATGGCTTGTATCTAGATGTGCCCACCAAAGCCTCATGAGGCTATAGGTAGGACATTCTCAGAGATGGCTTGATCTCGGGTACATGCTGCTGGGATCAATTCACAGGGCAATGCTAGGATCAAGAGCACTAGACTAACTGTATGAGTACTACCCACCCTAACTAATCAAATATAATTAACAGAAAGAGCTCTGGTTGACTCTTGCTGCTCTGCTACCTTCTGCCCACCATAGACCGTTTCTCCTCTGGCATGCCAGTCCGTCATGTCACCCTTCCTGGAAGCCTGCTGATCATGGACTGAAACCTCTATAAAGCCCTTTTTCCTCTTCATCTAAGCAACAAGAAAATTAACTAAGAT